GGGCTGGACACGGCCCTCCAAGTCATTTCCCCAGCCCTCACTCAGGGTCAGCCTAACCTACCTCGTCAGCCAAAAGCAGGCCCACACTCTCCACTGAAATACTAATAAGCTTATATTTTTTAAAATTGTTTTTCATTTTAATTATTGGATTGTTTTAAAGTGTTTTTTGCACTACAAATAAGATATGTTTATTTTGTTTATTGATGTACTGTGGGCTTGGCCTCATGTAAGCCGCACCAAGTTCCTTGGGGAGATGGTAGCAGGGTACAAATAAATTATTGTTATTATTATTAATATTATTGTTGTTGTTGTTGTTATGTGTGCAGTGTCCATAGGAATTCATTCATATTTTTTTTCAAATTATAATCCGGCCCTCCAACAGTTTGAGGGATTGTGACCTGGCCCTCTTTTTAAAAGGTTTGAGAACCCCTGCTCTAGAACATGGCCATATAGCCCGAAAAAACCTACAACAACCCAATTGCTCAATGGTCTTACAGCATCCACTAGGCAAGCCTATTAAGCTGCAAAAGAAATTTAGGCTTGGGCAAGGTTTGCAGAAACTCTGGATAATGAAAAAGAGGGCATCTGTTAAAAATTCATGGATGTTGCATTGGTGTGGTGGTAGCGGAGGTTTCTTCCTGCCTGACCCTGCCCCTCTGTCTTTACAGCTCCTTTACTGAAGACGTTCAGTTTTTTGGGCTTTGAAATTGTGAGGCCTGGCCACCCCTGTGTCCCATTGCGGCCCGATGTGTTGTTCATGGTGTACCCCCTGGACCAGGTTTCGTCTGAGGATGACTAGACCGAGCACGGCACGTCACTGGGACCCGGACATGCGTCAGAGACAAGCGGGGGCTCAAACTCTTCTGAGGAAAGGAAAAACAAAATTCTTCTGGACTGAAACTGCATTACTTATTGTTAGAGTGACCTGTATATCTTCTGAGTTGACTTTTCCATTGATATGTGTTACCTAGCGAATAATATAAAGTCTGCACATGTAATCGCACAATAGTGAACGGAAGATAAATGGAGCCCTTTCATACGCAGCTCTGTGGTCTGCTGGTTAGCCTAGTGGAGGCCGGCCGAGCCCCACGACGCGTTGGGCACGGAGCCTGCGAGCGAAGAGAGGGGCACGCCTCCTTAACATGGGGCTTTCTGTTCATTTCATTATTGGGCTTTCATTTGCAATAACTGTATATTTATATGTCCCTTCAGGCTCTGAGCAGAGAACTGTGAGGAAAATTAACACGTGTTAGCAAACCGTAGGCAGCACCACTGGGGTAACCAGCCGTGGGTTTCTGAAAAGCTTTTGTGCTCTTTTAGTTGTTTTCTTACATTGTTGTTATTATTAACACTGCTTCAGAACAGCCTCGAGTGGACAGGGGCAATAAACAAGTGAAGCTGCCCCTCGATTTGCAAGAATGAGCTACACAAGCCTTTTGGGGATTGTTGTAGTTATTTCTTCTTCTGTCCCTGTATTATAATCTTTTGGGCCTCAACATGGGACGCATTGAGAGAAGCGAGGGAAGAGAAGTTCACAGTCCGGATGCCCAGGCAGGCAGTGGCTCCTAGAATGCTTATAGGCAACCATCTGATCTCATGCTTTGCTGTTCTTAGTCTTCGGTCCTATGTTGTCTCACTGTGAACTAAGCCCCGTGATCCCAAGGGCAGGCTGTTGCAGAAAACTCTTCCTTCTCCAAGTAGTTTGTGTGGTTGAAATTCCATGTGTCGCATCCTTCCCTAAGTAGTCTTGTTTTGGATATTAGATGACAGCTATCATGCTTCTCTTTCTTTTGAACCGTCAGTTCCTTCAAACTTCACAATATACAATTCCAACACTTCTGTTTGTCTTATTTACTGATGTGGTTCTTATAGTGTTATCTGAAAGTGGTAAAAAGAGGCCTTATCTGTCTTGGTTTGTCATTATTTCATTAATGTGAGCCTAATTCCTATTGCCAAAAAGAAAACTCTGCAGCCGAGGTGAGCATCTGTGAAAAATCAACAACTGTTACTTTATCTGTTGCGGATTGTCCCAGGTATTGGACTTAATTTCTCTCATCAGAGATCACTTAGGAGTCATCGGTATGTTTCTCACTGCACAGTTCAGGGGCGTCTTTTTCATCGTGATTGATATTATACAGCTGAGTCTAGGCGAGTGGTTCTCAACCTGTGAGTCTCCAGGTGTTTTGGCCTACAACTCCCAGAAATTCCAGTTTACCAGCAGTTAGGATTTCGGGGAGTTGGAAGGCCAAAACATCTGGGGGCCCACAGGTTGAGAACCACTGGTCTAGGCTCTTGTGGATTCTGGAAACAAAAGGACAAAGAGGATGGGAGTATTGCAAGAAGAAAAGGAAGAAGCCTTTCTCTTCCAGTCCCAAATTGGTGTGGAACTTTTGATACCATCATTTTAGAGACTGAGCCAAATATTTCTTTTCGTGTCAGGAGAGAAATGGCCATCTGCAAGGACATTGCCCAGGGGACGCCCAGATGTTTTGATGTTTTACCATCCTTGTGGGAGGCTTCCCTCATGTCCCTGAATGGGGAGCTGACAGAAGGAGCTCATCTGCAGTCTCCCTGGATTTGAACCTCCGACCTGTCAGTCAGCAGTTCTGCTGGCACATGGATTTAACCCACTGCGCTAGGGGCTCTACAGCCAAATCATGCTGTCTTATGATTTACTTATGAGTACTTAAGAATGCAGCTACATTTCACTGTCAGAGGCTATCGCTACTCCAGACTTTGAGCTGGAGTCCAGTGTTTCAGGAAAGATTATTACTTACCTTTTGACGATTTTTCTGGCCCTGGCACAGTGCATTAGCAGCATATACTGTAATCCATTCAATCCCATCCCCAGGTAAGTATTAATCAGTAGGCATAGCAACAGAGTAATATATAGAAACTTCAACTGAAGCAAGCAGTGGCTTGTCCTGCTTTACTCCTAGGTCAGATTAGGAAGATGTGGCTGAGAGAGGAACAGTTCTCCCAACAAATCCAGTGCAACTTGAGGGCAGCCTTCTGCCAAGGGCAATTCTTGCTCCTGGGGTAAAGCAGAAAACTTTCACCTATCTCGGGGTCCCTTCCCTTGTAAAAATGGCTGCCTACTGTCCCAATACCCCACACCATCTTTTGTAACCAAAATATGTTTCCTCCTTAGTCTGACATACTTGAAGTAAGCTAAAAGGGCGAAACACATATTTTGTCTTCATGCAACAAAACTGCTCAGAATCATTGTTCCTTGGTATTTTTTAAAAGTAGGATATCATGCATCTTTGGTGACACTTTCAGTACTTTTTTTCTTGCACTAACACTGCTGGCTTTGAATGTGGAATTCAACCAGTTCCTGTTTCCTTATTAGAAACACTATAAAACAAATCCCAGGTATATATAGTTATGTAGCTGGTTTTAGCCAGCATCATGCGTATCTCGCAGTACAAAAGAAGGAACACGCTTTGCTTATGATTTCCTCCATCAATGGCATTAAAGGGTGCACCAAAATACCCTACATGGCCTTTATGCAGAGACCAGCTTTTGAGTTGAAAAAGTACATTCGATTAGCATAATTTCCTCCACAGCCTTTTGCTCATTTCCTATTAAGCCCTACACCGAAGTCACGCAATAGCTATTTTAAAAGGGTAGCAGCAAAAATAAATTGCATTTCCTTCTAATTCAGCCATTAGGTGCTCTGTCAAACTGGGGCTCACTATTAACAGCTACCACCACACAAGAGATTATAGCTGGGTTTCAAATAAATGCCATGGTATAGAAGTCTTGTGCTTATCCCCAAAAATTCATCTGAGGGGGAAATGAGAACTGTAGCTCTTCAGTAGAAACACATTCAGCTTGCTCTTCAGCAGAACTCATACAGTTTCCACATCAAGGTGGGACAATGCTGTCGGGCGCAGTTTCGTGTTCTCTGTTGTGCTTAATCCAAGTTCCTACTAAAAATCAGCCCTAATGAGAAACAGGTATGTTTAGTCCACAGGAAGGGATGAGAGGTGATACAATGGCTTTTTTTTAAGCATCTGAAGGGACATCATGTAAAAGATGGGCCAGACCTGTTTTCTGCTGCTTCACAAATGGACAAACCAGTGGATTAAACTCACAAGAACACCTAAAAAAAAAAATTATTTGAATAAGCAAGGAGAGACTGCCTATCCTCTTGCATATGCACACATACATGGCTTTTTAACCATTTATGTGTGCACATGTGGGTTAGTATAGATGTTTAAAAAGCAAGTCAATGTACAGAACATCTAATAAAAATAACCAAACCTTTATACTTAGAAGATAGGTTAAGAATGGCATTTCTGGCCCTGCAAAAAATATTGCTGATTATACGAAATGATGTCAGGGGCAAAAAGGAATGACGGGTAACTCAGTGACCTAGTTATGCTAATATATCACCACCTGCGGTGTCTGAAGACCTCATTTAGTTTAAAAGTAGTAGGAATGAAGGTCACGTCCTCCATTAAGACCCAACAGCCTCACACCCCTCTTTATAGGGCAGGCTCATAATCTTCAATGTTTTGACACTCAGGCACACCAGGGCAAGGCATCTCCACTCCTCTAACAAGGTGAAATAAGGAACCAACCACTCTTTGAGTGGTTGGTTCCTTATTTCACCTTGTTAGAGGAGTGGAGATGCCTTGCTCTGGTGTGCCTGACTCAAGTTCATCCATTTGTCTTTTGAAAGTATTCTTCGTCAAGGCAGCTGCCAAAATAGTTTTTCTTGTGCCATTTCTTAAATTGATAAAGGTAGCTTCTATAGACAGAAAGCTCATGGGATTTGTCTCGAGTAGAAAAGGAGATAAGACAATGCAGCACACTTCCTTCCTGGAGTCAAATCACCGTGTGTTTTAAAATAATGAGAGGACAGCAGTCAAATTAAGGCCCACAAAGCTCTCTTCCCCTTCCCATCCTAAGATAGCTTCTAAAACCAAAGGATTTTTAGTTGTATGGAGACGTAAGAGACCCCAGGCTGAGAAAGAAACCACAAAGACAAGTTTCAAACAATTCCTTTTTACAATATATACAAAATCCAAGAGGCAGAGGGTGGCCTCACACAACGTACGTACAGACAGGAACAGAAAGAGAGCTGGAGACTTGCATTGTTGGGACAGATAGACCGCACTGGCGGCGGCTGCTCCTCGCTTGGCTAGGAAGGGCAAGCAAGACCCCTCCTCTCCGTTGCTACTAGAAGTGACTACCCTGCAAGAAAGGGGAAGGACATTCCCATGGAGACGGGCAGAGTTCCAACTGGGAGCTTCATGAGGGACACTGGAAATGGGTTTGGGGAGAAACTGACCATCCTCATGATGCCAGGATTGCCCTTCCTCCACAGTCAAGTCTCAGAGCCCACAGTGGCGGGGCATTTGGCCACCCCTCAACCGCTGCCTCAGGCCAACATTACAGCTGTCCTACATTAGTAGAACGTGCAGCTCTAGAAGATTTGTATGGATTGGCAGCCAGTTAATTGCCAGGACTACTTTCTTCATTTCTTTTCCGCAAGACCAAGAGCTCTCCCACTTCACTCTCGCCGCCCCGGCATCCACCTGTTCACGGCCTGATAGGAAAGGACCATCTTGCAACTGTAGAGAATGAAGAACTGCATGCTTGAAGTCCACCCAGCCCCATCGGCGTGCTCTCTTCGTGTGGAAACAAGAGGTTTTGTTCAGAGGGAGGAGGGGTTTGGGAAGACAGGAAGCCGAGCGAGGCAAGGCGATTCGGCGGCGGAGGAAACCCATCCTAGCAGCAGCAGCAGCAGGGCCAGCCTGCAGAAAGGCCCAGCTGGATGCAGAACTGAGTGTATCTTTTGTGCTGTACAGCAAAGTAGTGTCTGCTGTTTGCAACACACAAGTCCTGCCAGCAGGGAGAGATGTTAGAAAAAAACAGCCAATGGAAGAGGGCCTTTCAGGGCACGTAAGGAAGCCACAGTCCCAGAGGCAAAGTGCTACAAAAGGTTTCCGCATTGTTCTCCACAGGGGAGCACGTGGTTGGCTTCTGCTCATCACAAGGTACACATCTTTACCCCATGTCCCACACTGCCCGTTTCTCAAGCCAGTAGGAAATGGGAGAATTCATCTTTATTTCCTATTGCTGCTGGAGACTGCCTACCTGCTTGTGCTGAGGAAATGCTCATCACTAGTAAAAAAAAACACAATCTGGATGATCTTCGCCCAAACCTGGAGTATCTATCTCAGCTGTAGCTCAGGAGCAGAAGAGTCGTGGACAAGAGTCCAGGGCTGAGGTGCCTTCCCTTCACAGCGTTCCAAGGCACCTGTGGTGCCACACCGCACGGCTTGCCGCCACAGCGTCCCTGCTCCAGAGTTCTGGAAGTCAGCCAGTTAACCCCAAGTCAGGTGAATAAATACGTCTGCAAGTTCCAGCTCCACAACTCAAAAACAGAGGGGGTTCAGCTTGGGTTCAACAGGGGAGGGGGCAGAGTCTGCCTCACATTACGGCAGAATCATCAAGCAGAACAATCAACACCATTCAACTGATGTCTAATGCAATTCCCAACGCGTCCTCATGTGAGCCAGTCACATGGCTTGGTATAGCCTAGGTTATCCCGATCACATTGTGTCCTGTTGGAAAAAAGAAAAATACAAGACAGTGCTAGCAGTCTGAGAGTCGGCCACAGGGGGGAGACAGAGCAAAAGACATCAGGACTTGGAAGAGTTCAACCAGTAATCTTTTCCTCCCCAAATGGAGAAGCAGGTGGACTTGGAAGGCTGCCCATAGCAGATACCTCTAATAAAGAAGAGATGAAATCTGCAGTCCATGCATGAAATTTTCATAGCTATTACACAGCTTGCATATTTTCAATATACAGGCAGTCTCTGAGTTACAAACATCTGACTTACAAATGACTCCTAGTTAAGAATGGGTCTGGAGAGTAGGATGCCGAGCAATGGCTTCAAACTACAAGAAAGGAGATTCCATCTGAACATTAGGAAGAACTTCCTGACTGTGAGAGCTGTTCAGCGGTGGAACTCTGCCCCGGAGTGTGGTGGAGGCTCCTTCTTTGGAGGCTTTGAAACAGAGGCTGGGTGGCCATCTGTCGGGGGTGCTTTGAATGCAATTTTCCTGCTTCTTGGCAGAAAGGGGTTGGACTGGATGGCCCCTGAGGTCTCTTCCAACTCTAGGATTCTATGATTCTAGGGGTGGGACAACAAGAAGTGAGAGAAATCTACCCTTCAGAAGGAAAATTCACTCCTGAAAGAGTTATTGTGGGGAAAAAGTCTTTCCATTAAAGCTTTCTCTCCAATTCTTGCTTCCACAACATACCATTTCCCCCCCAAAATCCAGTTATCACAGGGACAGAAAGTGAGATGAAAACTTCTGAACAGAGACACAGACAGCAAAACAAACACCATAGAGCAATGGTTCTCAACCTGTGGGTTCCCAGGTGTTTTGGCCTACAACTCCCAGAAATCCCAGCCAGTTTACCAGCTGTTAGGAGTTTTGGGAGTGAAGGCCAAAACATCTGGGGACCCACAGGTTGAGAACCACTGCCATAGGGGCATAAAACCTTCCCTATGCTGTATAAAGCTAATATTGATTTATTATGCTTAAAATGTACGTGTTCCGAGTTATATAAATTCAACTTAAGAACAAACCTACAGACCCTATCTTGTTTTCAACTTGGGAACTGCCTGCAGTCTTAACTGGAGATTGATACAGCTCTGAGAAGCAATAAGGCATCTGCAAAGAGGACTTGGGTGAAACCCTAGGAGCACTGCTAGAATTATCATAGGGTTTCCATAGCTTTTCTCTGAAATAGAGCCTACAATACCTAGCATTTGTTGGTGGTCTCACCTTAAAATACTAACTAACCAGGGACAACCCTACCTACCTTCCAAGAATAGACAGGATCTGGTGCCCTTAGGGTTCTTAGGTGAAGATAAAAGTTTCCCCTGACATTAAGTCTAGTCGTGTCCAACTCTGGGGGGTGGTGCTCATCTCTGTTTCTAAGTTTAAGAGTCAGGGTTGTCCGTAGACACCTCCAAGGTCATGTCCCCGGTATGACTGCATGGAGCGCCATTACATTCCTGCCAAGGCGTTACCTATTGATGTACTCAGATTTGCATGTTTTCAAACTGCTAGGTTGGCAGAAGCTGGGGCTAACTGCAGGAGCTCACCTCGCTCCCCAGATTTGAACCACCAACCTTTCGGTCAGCAAGTTCAGCAGCTTAGCAATGTAACTCACTGTGCCACCGGGGGTGGTGGGGCGCTTAACTTAAGGTACTTATCTAGTTACAACCCAGAGGTATATACTAAAGTGGACTATTTCAGACATTAGAAAGAGACCCATTCTGGCAGAAATACTATATGGCAATGCCCCCCTTCATCCCAACCCACTCCTCTCCCCACATCAATGGCACAGAGGACATCCTTACCACTTTCACCTCCGGGGCGGGGGATATAGGGAAGGAGCAGAGCCTTGCTGACTGGCAACAATGGCGGTAGATGAGAGACCTGCAGGGAAGCAGAATTACGGTGCACAATGGAACAAGAGCCCACGGGTAAAGAAGATGCCCAAGTGACCTGCAGCATAGTATCAGGCTCCAACTTATAGTGGAGACATTTCACAGTGCATCACAGACAAATACCTGTGAAAGCGTCAACGGCAGAGGCAAAGGCTATTGAGTTTTGGCATGGGCTCAGACACCATCACCCAACAAATTTGGAACCAGGGATTTTGCTTCCCTCCTCCACTAAGGAATGCTGCCACATTTCTGGTCTGCTCCTACCTGTTGCATAGGGCAGGTTGTACTGGGCAGTCGGTAGCAGCGAGTAGCCCAGGTGGTGGTGGTGGTGATGCGTGGACATCAGACGCTGTGAAGGAGAGGAGCGGGGCCGGTCAACGCTGCTTCTCTCAGCACTGCTGGCTACCCCTACACCACTGCAGCCCGCACTGCTTCCTCCCACCCCGCAGCCACTGCGCTCTTGAGAGGCCTTTTCGCCTATCTGTAAAATAACCAGACAGACAGGCACACCGAAGTGTGAATTTGCACCGGCGGTGTGTGTGGAAGTCGGCTGCTTAGCAAGGTGTGCCAAAGCCAACTCTTGTGTAACTTCTCTCCAGGTTGGCAAGAGCCATTTTTCCACCTTCTTTTTACACATAACATTCTCCCTCTTCCCTCCCAGTAAGAAACTCTAATGACAAAGCGCCAGCTTAGAAAGGACAATCTTTACAGCTGATAGGTTGGCGTAAGTTCCATCTTGTCTCCTGTGCTATGCTAATAATATAATATATTGTATGGGTAAAGGAAAAGGTTGTCCCCTGACATTAAGTCCAGCGTGTCCGACTCTGGGGGTTGGTGCTCATCTCCATTTCTAAGCAGAAGAGCCAGCGCTGTCCACAGACACCTCCAAGGTCATGTAGCCAGCATGACTACATGGAGCGGTATTACCTTCCCGCCGGAGCGGTACCTATTGATCTACTCACATTTGCATGTTTTCAAACTGCTAGGTTGGCAGAAGCTGGGGCTGACAGCGGGAGCTCATGCCGCCCCCCGGATTCAAACCTGCGACCTTCGGTCAATAAGTTCGGCAGCTCAGTGCTTTAACCCACTGCGCCACCGGGGGCTCCTAATATAATATATTGTATATACATATAATATTTATAATAATATAATACAATATAATACTACTAATAATAAAGTGATATAATTCTATATTTTATATTACATGTAATATTACTAATAATATTACAATGTAATGGTATAGTACAATATAGTAATATATGATACTGATATTCTACTATTCTAATAATATAATAAGTTGTATGCATATATATCTTGTAAGCTGCTCTGAGTCCTCTTTGGGGTGAGAAGGGCGGCATATAAATGTAAATAAATCAAACAATACCGAATATACATCTCCCTTCTCTTCCAAGCTCACCACTCACCGTTGGGGATTTGCTCTTGTAGTGGCTGGCGTGCTGCTGCAAGATGTCCAGGGCCTTGGATTCGGAACTAGACTTGCAGCCAATGCTAGGGCTGGCTCGGGATTTCTCGCTCTCCTCATTCCCTGAGGATTTGCTGCCGTAGGGGGAGAAGGAGTAGCTGGAGGGCAGGTAAGAGCCTGTGGAGGAGACGCCAGTCAGGGCCTTCCTACTTGTTCCAGCGGAAGAGCAGGCTACTCAAAGAGACGGTCATTTCTCAAATCCTCAAAAATGGAAGGACTGTCCAGAGGCTTGGTGGCGGAGCAAGTGTACAACAGAGTTGCGCATACACACACATTCCTTAAGAGCGGGAAAATCTTTTTACAAAACCTTAGATATTATTGGTTGTTTAATAGATCTGCTAAAGGCTCAGAAACCCAAAGGACTCTGGGGAGAATGGCCAATGTTTAGGGGAAGATATGGATGTCTCACACATTTGTTGCCTACTAACATTTCCAATCTTAGCACTACCAACATTCAGAGTTTGGGAAAGTTACTTCTTAAAGTTTAACTCTCGTCTTTTGATATTATGTGATCTTATTTATGGCACTGAATATTTGCCTCTTATATGTATGTGAACCACCCTGAGTCCCTCTGGGGGGAAGAGGGCGGGGCAGAAATAAAGTATTATTGTTATTACTTTACTGACACAAAAACACAGTATGTCACAGCAAACGAGATACATATGCTGAATTTTGTATCACAAAATCACAAGTCGAACACTTCCCAAGTGTCTAGGACTGTGTGATGTATATTATTATTATTATTTGAAACACAACAAGATGAGTCCACAGCAGACACTCTGCTGGCTGTTGAATTGGATCACACGTCGAACACTTCCCAAGTGTCTAGGACTGTGTGATGTATCGGTGAATAATGCATACAGATCCCACTAAGGTGGCCTTCTGCAGCTAGCAGATGGTAATTTTGTCAGCGCCGATTGTGTTTAAGTGCAGGCCAAGGTCTTTAGGCACTGCACCCAGTGTGCCGATCACCACTGGGACCACCTTTACTGGTTTGTGACAGAGTCTTTGCAGTTCGATCTTTAAATCCTCATATCGTGTCAGCTTTTCCAGTTGTTTCTCTGCAATCCTGCTTTCACCTGGGATTGCAACATCGGCGATCCATACTTTGTTTTTTAACACGATTGTGAGGTCAGGAGTGTTGTGCTCCAGAACTCTTGTCTGTCTGAATTCAGAAGTCCCAGAGGAGTTTGGCATGTTCATTCTCGGTAACTTATTCAGGCTTGTGATCCCACCAGTTCTTTGTGGCAGGCAGATGGTGTTTGTGGCACAAGTTCCAATGAATCATCTGAGCAACGGTGTTATGCCTCTACTTGTAGTCTGTCTGCGCAATCTTCTTGTAGCAGCTGAGGATGTGATCTATTGTTTCAACTGCTTCCTTGAAGAGTCTACATTTGGGATCTATATCTGGATTGGGTGCCACCTTGTCGTTGGCAGGGGGCTTAACTACTTCAATGATGTTGAGAGCTGTCCTGGTGGTAGTGTAAACTACCAGCAGGCTCAACCAAGCCAGAGTGGTCTCAACTGAGAAGTAGAACTAAGTGCGCCTAACCCATTTAAATATGGTGAAACAAACTCTGAAGAAGTCTATACTGGCTCAGTCGTCGCCTAGGATAATAAGGACCGCGGTGAGTGCTTCTCCTGGGCACCCGTCGACAAGTGGGCTACAGGAACCAGGACCCACACAACCAGGGCGTGGGCCTGTAGGGCAACTAGAAGCAAAACAACTACAGAAGCGGCAGAAATTTTCAATGCCACAGAATCGAACTGTCATGAACTATTATTATTATTATTATTATTATTATTATTATTATTGGATACACGACAAGAAAACAACACCACTATGCTGGCTTTTGTATTTGATCACACATCGGACACTTCCCAAGTGTCTAGGACTGTTTGATGTATCATGAAAACGAACACGTCAAACTACTCTGGGACTTCCAAATTCTGTTTTGAAGGACAATACTCCTGACCTCACGATCACGGGGAAAAAACAAGCATCCATGTTGCAATCCCAGGTGGCAGCAGAATTGATGAGTAGCAACTGGAAAAGCTTACACAATATGAGGATTTAAAGACAGAACTGCAAAGACTCTGTAACAAGCCAGTAAAGGTGGTCCTAGTGGTGATCAGTTCATTGGGTGCAGTGCCTAAAGACCTCGGCCTGCACTTAAAAACAATTGGTGACAAAATTACCACCTGTCAGCTGCAAAAGGCCACAAAAGGATCAGCTATTATTATTATTATTCCCAGAACTCAAAGACAAAACAGTTAGTTACTTTTTGGAGTAATTACAGAATCCTGGCCATGCTTCTGGGAGCTGTAACTTTTCTGGGCTGAAGTCCAAACACTTACATGTGCTATAAAGGGGATCTCAACTTCCCCCATCTTGATGTTGCTGAATAGTCACTACACTCAATTTGAGAGGCCTATCTGGGATTCCAGCCACAATAATCACAATTTCCATGTTGCTCCAAGAAAAAATTAAAACAAAATTTAAAAAAAACAATCACTTTCCCCTAAGAAGAAAAGGAAGGCTGCACCCCTGTATACTCAGAATGTACTCCAAGCCCCCATACCTGGGTAGTTCTGCATCATGACTGTGGGCATGCCACGGTAACTGGGGTGGTTGGGGTCGTAGGACTGGCTGTAGGAGTAGCCGTGCATGTAAGGGATGTACGACTGATGCTGGGTGAGGGGTGATGAGACGGGCACGTGCGTGCTCGGCCTGGGCTCCTTCCCCACCAAACGGGACTCTTCGCTGGAGGGCACTTTGCAGTCAGAGCTCGTACTCTCCTTCCCATCTTCCTTCACGAGAGAATCTTTGCTGCGGCTCCTTTCCTCCTTTACCTTCCGGTCCCGCTCCTCCTTCCACCGCTCATCTTCTGTTTTGATGTCGGAGTATTTAGCAGGGTAAACATAGGTCCACATTCGGGGCTCAGCCTCCTGTAAGCAATATACATATAGACAAGGTGGCTGTTTAAAAATGGCTAATTGTTGACATTTTGGGGAGACCTGGGAATAGCAGTTCTGATTCTTATTTTTTTAAAACAGAACCTTGGTGAGTGTAATTAAATGAAGGAAAAAATCAGCAATGCACCGACAACATCCATCAGGGCTTCATTGCACAAACTGCCCGATTTCTACACTCTACACATACATGCACACACACACTTGTGCCCTTTATGCTTTTCCCATTTACCTGTCTATACCAAAGTACTGGGTCCACTTCTGCCTGCCGGCCACAGTCCAAACCAGCCTTTGATTCTGGCGTTTCTTTGCTTAGGTGGCTTTCACTTAGCTTTCCTTTGAGGCCTTCTGCAGCCTGTGCTTGGAGCTTGGAAGAATCCTCCAATTTAGGAATGATAACAGACTTGGCCACCTCACCCCCCTGCTCCTTGCCTTTGCCAAGTCCAGATTTGACCAGATCGGTCAGACTGGGGGCTTTAGTCAGAGTAGGAGGGAGAGAGGGCTTCTGCTTCCATTCCTCCTTGAGGGCCACTTCTCGCTCCTTCAGCCCCAGCTCCACTTTCTTGTCCATCCCACGCTGCTGCTGCTGCTGCTGCTGTTGTTGTTGCTGTTGCTCCAGGGTCTGGCGCTGCTTTTGTTGGTCTTCATACTGTTGCCGGTAGGTTGGGTTGGTGCTGAGCAGGTGGGCATGATACCCTTGCTCACTATACCCGTAAGGAGGCACGTAGGCATACTGGTTGTAGTAAAGAGACTGCATGTACATATTGGACCTCGGCTGGATGACCGAAGGCTGCTGGCTGGAGGGCCCAAGCTCTGGCTTCTTCTCCTCGCAAGCCTCGTTCTTGACCTTCACCTCTGGGCTTGGAGGCTCCTCGTCTTTCTTCAGTTTCAGGGCCTGGCCATCAATGGTGCTTTGGCTGCTGGGATTTATGGGGCCTGGGCTTGACTGGGCATAACCTGGCGAGTAGTATGCCTCAAAGCCTTGGTAATAAGGGGACTCTTTGTTTTGAGGCTGAGAGGGGAAGAGGGCTTTCTTGGCCCCCTCCTTAGCCAGCTGCTCGGGGTCCTTTGCTTTCATGCTCTCTACCTTACCCTCTCCATCCTCCCCTGCGTCTGAGATGTCAGAATAGGCAGGGCTGTTTGTTTTCACAGAACTAGCTTCCGCGCCATTTTGGGTGACGACATGAAGCGGGGTCAAAGGCTGTGTGGGGGCTGCATTGTCTAGTCGGCTGGCACCTCCAATGGACGGGCTTGGGGCGTTGTCAGTAAAACTGTAGATTTTATCGGCCTCTGCTTTGATGCTGGCGAGGCGGCTCTGGTGGGGGTCAGAACCACCATTCAAAAGACTCTCCCCTTTAGCCCCAAGGTCACCGGGGTCCCCTCGGAAGGGGCTTTTGCCTTCCTCGGCGCGACACACTTTCCCAGGAGTCAAAGGGTTATCCATGTCCTTGGACTCCTTCTTCTTCTTGTCCTTCTTCTTCTTGTCTTTGACAGGAGTGAGGGTGGGACTGACTGTGAAAGGCTCTCCCATCACAGTCGGCTTGGGCTGGATGGGCTTCAACTGGGGGCTGTTGGGCATGGCCTGAACAACCGTGGTGGTGAGACCGGTGGAGGAGACAGGGCTGGTAGCGGTGAACGTGGCTGTCTGGAAGGTGTAGATTTGAGGCGGGATAGCTGGGGCGATGGGTCGAGCAGACTTAATGCTCTTGGAAGATACCTTCTCAGGTTTGATGCTGACAGGCTTTTTGGATTTCTCTTTGTCACTGCCCCTCTTCTCCACAGAGTCAAAGCCATCATTGCTGGTCTCATCAGCTATCAAAGGGCCATCCTCAGAGCCATCGTTCGACAGAGCACCAGAGTCAGGGTCCCCCTCGCCACTCAGCTTCTTCTTGCAAGTTTTGGGGTTGAACTTGCCCGATGGCGAGGGACTGTGGGGCTCTATCAGCCGCACTTTGGGGGTGGTTGACCGGGCTGGAGACAGAGAACCCTTCTGGCTCCCAGAAGCACCATTGCAGCTGCCTAGATCCGCTGCAAGAGAGGAGTCCTCACCATATTCACTATCTCCATCAGCCTCAGGCTTGCTGTCATCATCCGTGTGTGCATGAGCCTGGTGATACTTGAGTCCATTAATGTGCTTATATTTTTTGCTACAGTTAGGGTGGGGGCAGTCAATGAGTATGGGAGAGGGACAGTTTCTATCCAAAATGGCAGGTTCCACCTTGACTGTCGTTGTAGTGACTGCCGCAGCCGCTGCCGCAGCCACCAAGGGTGCGGCAGCGGAACCCATGGAGTTGGTGCGGACACGCTTGCTTCCCTTGGAGTCTTCAGAGCTGGAATTCACTTCCATGTCAGAGAGGGGCTTGCTTTTCCGCTTGCTCACGGAGGAAGGGCTGGCCTTGACATCCTCAGAAGGGCCACTGGGTGGAAGACGGTGCTCGGAAGAGTTCTGGCTGCCTCGGCGTCCCTTGCTGTTGGCCCCGGCCCTCGTCTTGCTACTGTTGCTGGTGCCTTTGCTTTCCGTGGCTGCTGTGCTTTCATTCATGGGGGGGTTGCTGTTGGGACGCATGCGCTTGCCTCTCCCTCGACCATTTCGCATCTCCAGGTCACTGGTGGGGGAATCACAGAACCTAGGAGGTAACAAAGCAGGACTTACAAGACAGCCATCATGCCATTCTTTCTCTGCAATTAGAATCATAGAATCACAGAACTGGAAGAGACCTCATGGGCCATTCAGTCCAACCCCATTCCACCCAGAAGCAGGATTATTGCATTCAAAGCACCCCTGACAGATGGCCACCCAGCCTCTGTTTCAAAGCCTCCAAAGAAGGAGCTTCCACCACACTCCGGGGCAGAGAGTTCCACTGCTGAACAGCTCTCAGAGTTAGGAAGTTCTTCCTAATGTTCAGGTGGAATCTCCTTTCTTTCCTGTAGTTTAAAGCCATTGTTCTGGATCCTAGTCTCCAAGGCAGCAGGAAACAAGCCTCCTCCCTCCTCCCTATGACTTCCCCTCACATATTTATCCATGGACCTCATCATGTCTCCTCTCAGCCTTCTCATTGCAGGCTAAACATGCCCAGCTCTTTAAGCCGCTCCTCATAGGGCTTGTTCTCCAGGCCCTTGATCATTTTAGTCCTCTGGACACGTTCCAGACTGTCAACATCTCCCCTTAAATTGTGGTGCCCAGAAATGGACACAGTGTGATTCCAGGTGTTCTGACCAAGGCAGAATAGAGCGTGGGGAGCATGACTTCCCTGGGTCTAGACACTATACTCCTGTTTATGCAGGCCAAAATCCCATTAGCTGCCGCATTAAGCCCTCTCCTTAATGATGGCACAGAGTGGCTGAAAGAATCCTAGAGCCTCTGATATAAGTCTCCTGCATTTGCCCAAAGGCTACTACGGATGGCACCAGTCAGGCCTGCCCAAGTAAGCAAGCTGATAGAGGCATGGTGGAGGTTTTCCAAATCTGGAATAGAAAGACTGCATAGCCCGTAAAACTTGACTGGGGAACCTAGTTAGAATTTAGGCTTCTAGACAGTCAAATTGGGAAGCAGCATTGGTCAGAGACAGCTTCAGATGTGAATCAGATCCACTTTCCTGCCTAAGAAAGCATCCTCCTCCCCTAAAGCGCCTGGTCTAGGGGATGCTGAGAGCTGTCATTTTTGTGCATGCGCTGTATCGTCACTTAAATTTTTTGGTTTTTAAGTCCTTTCCATTGTTTTTTGGGAGGGGTTTATGAGTGATTGTCACTCATTGGACTGTTAGGGGTGTAGTGTCCAAATTTGGTGTCAATTTGCCCAGTGGTTTTTGAGTTCTGTTAATCACACAAACAAACATTACATTTTTATTTATATAGACTAGCCGTCCCCTGCCACGCATTGCTCTGGCCCAGTCTGGTGATCTGGAAAATGGTGCTGGTGCTGTTTCTAATATATGTGATTTTTTAATGCTTGTGGGTAAATAGTATTTGTTGCTGTTTCTTTGTCAGTGTTGATGTGGAGATTGTCTGGTTTGTCTACTCTGGAACATGCAACATATCATTGTCCTTCTTTAGGGGTCCCTTTCAAATCTATGATACTATATCTCTCTGTGTGTGAATCATATATATGTATCTATATCTATGGCTGGATGGCTCTTTGTCAGGAGGGCTTTGATTATGTTTTCTTGCCCTGCTGAAGGACTTGGTTGGCCTTAAGTATTTTCTGTTGGTCAATTTGTGTGGGTTGCTCCAATTCTGTCATTGGCGGGGTTCAGAATGCTCTTTAATTGTAGGTGAACTATAAATCCCAGTAACTACAACTCTCAAATGTCAGGGTCTATTTCCCCCAAACTCAATTTGTCTGCAAATTTGGGCATATGGAATATTCGTTCCAGGGTTGGTCCAGATCCATCATTGTTTGAGTCCACAGCGCTCTCTGGATGTAGATGAACTACAACTCTCAAACTCAGGGTCAATGCCCATCAATGCCCATGTTGGTCATGGGAGTCCTGTGTACCACGTTTGGTTCAATTCCAGCACTGGTGGAATTCAGAATGCTCTGATTGTAGGTGAACTATAAATCCCAGCAACTACAACTCCCAAATGACAAAATCATTTTTTTGGAGTGATGCTCACTCCTTGGGTTAGTAGGTGTCTTGTGTCCAAATTTGGTGTCAATTCGTCCAGGGGGTTTTGAGTTCTGTTAATCCCACAAACGAACATTACATTTTTATTTATATAGATGGCAAAATCAAGATTTGTCTTTTGGAATTTCCGAAAAACATATTTTTGAGTCATGAATGCTTGAATCCATTGGTATAAAACCTGTAGAGACAGAGGGCTGACTATATCTGCTATCCAGGAAAGAGAACACCAAAGTCAGCAGCCACTATTGTGCCACTTGGCATAAGGTCTGTTTCATAGCGCAAGGGTGAGCAGCACTCCTGAAACTGTTGGACTACAACTCCCATCAGCCTTGTCAGCACAGTTGCTAGGGGTTGCTATCAAACAACATCTGGAAGTCATGTGGTTGCCACTGTGCTCCAGCAAAATCTCATGTGGCATGCTACTAAGTGTACTGCAGGATGTCTCTCTGCCTTGTGTTTTACCTTGGCGGTGCCCAGTCATGCTGTGTGCAGTCGAGGAGCGTCCCCACATAAGTCTTATTCCTCCAGGTGACATTCACCACCAGCATACCTGTGGGAGCAAGAGAAAAAATGTGAACACTTTTCTTTTCTAGGGCAGTTTATATGGCCTTATCTTCACTTCAAAATAGCCTTAATCATAAGGAAGACATATCTTGCCTATCAAGGGACAAGAAATAGACTTACTCAGGCAGGGATTCAGATAGTTTTTGCTTGAAGCTCTTTATCTTTGGCCATTAAGGAACTGAAAATCCCAACTCCACTAACTGCATAGCAAACTTCAGATTCAGTAGAGCCATTGGGGTCACATTTTTAAAAAAGAGGCAGAGAAAGAATGAAGGCTCAGAGATAACTGCATGTTTGCTGAATATACCACTATAATTTTCAATGTTGCACATAAGCTATGTTATCAGGAAAGGCAAATATTCTTAAGGAGTGGGATTTATAAACACAGAAAGCAAGTTCCTCTTAGTACTTGTCCAAATCTGAGAGAGGTTCTCACTTTCCTAATCCTTCTTCTCTGTGTATGTTTCTGTCAAATGATCAAGCTGACCCAAATCCTATGTCAAAAAGCAGCTCTATTTCTGGTAAACAGGAGTCGTTCTGTTGGCAATATTTTAAACAAAATGCTCTCAATTTCCATGTTGGCAATTTGAGTTATGACTTTGGATATTTCACCAACAACTGGATTCAAGAGGCAAATTGTCATCTGATTTATGAAGCTGTAATTTGACAAATACTTTTGCTAATGGTATAAAAAAGTTAGATTGAGTCTTCTAAGTCCAATCAGAGAGTTATCTAGAGCAGAGGTTGAACATTTTTAGAGCTCATTCATGATACTCATAATAATAATAATAATAATAATAATAATAATAATAATAATAATAACAACAACAATTCATAATTATATACATAATTCATTACATCCTCGCAGTGATGTTGACCGGCTCTATCTGCCTAGAAAGTCTGGTGGCAGAGGACTTTTACAAGTCAAACAAGCAGTTGAAGAAGGAAAACACGATGCCCTGGCATAATATGTCAAGGAAAACCAAGAACCTGCTTTAATTAAAGTCAATAATCGGAAACTTCTCAAAGCACAGCAGACAAAGAGTCAGTACAAGAAAACTGCACTCCAAACCAGAGCTGACAGCTGGCACAACAAAGCCTTACATGGGCAGTTCCTTGAGAAGATTGAAGGAAAAGTTGACAAGGAGAAGACCTGGTGATGGCTCATGAATGGAACCCTGAAGAAGGAGACAGAAGGCCTGGTTCTTGCAGCCCAGGAGCAAGCCATCAGAACCAATGCCATTAAGGCCAGGATTGAAAAATCAGTGGATGAACCAAAATGCAGACTGTGCAAGGAAGCTGATGAAACCATGGACCATATCCTCAGCTGTTGCAAGAAAATTGTACAGACGGACTACAAACAAAGACACAACTCTGTGGCCCAAATGATTCACTGGAACTTATGTCACAAGTACCACCTGCCAGCAGCAAAAGAATTGGTGGGATCATAAACCTGCAAAGGTCGTGGAAAATGAACATGCAAAAATACTGTGGGACTTTCGAATCCAGACTGACAAAAGTTTTGGAACACAATACACCAGACATCACGATTGTGGAAAAGAAAAAAGTCTGGATTATTGATGTCGCCATACCAGGTGACAGCTGAATTGATGAAAAACAACAGGAAAAACTCAGCCGTTATCAAGACCTCAAAATCGAACTGCAAAGGCTCTGGGATAAACCAGTACAGGTGGTCCCAGAGGTCATCGGCACACTGGGTGCTGTGCCAAAAGACTTCAGTTGGCATTTGGAAACAATAAACATTGACAAAATCACGATCTGTCAACTGCAAAAGGCCACCTTACTTGGATCTGCGCACATCATTCAAAATACATCACACAGTCCTAGACGCTTGGGAAGTGTTCAACTTGTGATTTTGTGATATGAAATCCAGCATATAGATCTCGTTTGCTTTGACATACTGTGCTTTTGTGTCAATAATAATAATAATAATAATAATAATAATAATACATTATTTATATTCCTCCCTATCTCTCTGAGGAAGATTCAGGGCAGATTTGAACAGACAAAAATATAAAAGCAAAGATTCAATGCCTTGAAACAGCCATGAACACAGATACAATAATGGGCCCCCCAAATTACAAAATAAACCAACATCTAACAACAAATTATAACATAGAGCTTAAAATTACATAATTAATTAAATTATATCTAACATAAAAACATTAACATGAGCTTCAATGTACAAAGTTATTAAAAGTTCATTAAGAAAAATATTTTAAATTAATTATGTTGCAGTAATGTCAACAGAGTCAACTGAGCTGACAAGGCCAGAGTACAATAGCATTTTCCAGTCAGAGGTATATTAGCACTCTATAGTTATCTAATTCTCCTCCTCTTCATATGCTAATGAGCACAGATGGGTTTTTAGTTGTTTTTTTAAAAGAGAGAAGGGAAAGGGCTATTTTTATTTCTTTAAAGAGGGAGTTCCAGAGGAGGGGGCGATCACGGAGAAGGCCCTTTCTCTTGTTCCCACCATCCGTACTCATAACAGTGGATTCCTTTATAAAATATACTCAGGAGTCTCTGGAGAAGCAAATATTTGAACTCTATACTTATGGAAAATAAAATTTAAGGTATTCTTAGTCTAATATTCTAAGGCAATTGGGGTGTAGTGCTTTCTTTGAGTGTTGAACAAGGATACTAGGAGACCAGGGTACAAATCCCCACTCGGCCATGGAAATCCATGTGGTGACCTTGGGCAAGTCACATTCTCTCCACCTCAAAGGACAACACTGGATCAATTTTGCCAAGAAGCCTCCATGATAGGTTTGCCTTAGGGTCGTCATAAGTCAGAAATGACCCGAAGGCACACAACCACAAAAAAAAAAAAAAGAAAAAAAAAAAAAGAAAGAAAGGAAGAAAGAAAGAAAGAAAGAAAGAAAGAAAGAAAGAAAGAAAGAAAGAAAAAGTAGTCTGATCTGCTGCCCAAGCAGATTCACATTTACTTTTGGCAGAGGTACAGACATAGTAGTAACATACTTGGCACACCTTTAACCTTTCAGTGCCAGGAATACTGAGTACCATTTATGAATCAGATCCAGTTTGGCTCCCATAGTTAAACATTGCATAAGCTGCAGCACCTAGGAAGGTTTCATGTAACTAACAGATATCAATCAGAGCCTTTTTTTTTTTAGGTGTTGCACACAGCACATCTGTATGCTGAGATCTTCAGTTTTAAAAGAAGTTGTGTACACTTTTCTGGCCCTCGTGATTATTGAAGATTTTTCAAGGAGCACAGAAAGACTTTTACTGAATATTTAGGGTGAGGCTTCTCTGTCCAACAGGCCCAACTTGTCCCTCATTGATGGCTCTATTCCATTCATTGCAACAGCGTCCTCTTTTTGCCCATAATTCCACAAGCAACCGAACTTCAAATATTAGATTTAGAACAAAATGTTGAAAACTGTTATGAAACAAACATATTTGCATAAGTGGGTTAATATGCATAATGTAAACCTAGAATTTGGACTACATTGTTGTAGCTTATGAACATCCTGGCGTTCACATGCTCCATCAGAAAACAATTATGCTAAATATTTCCATGCTATTAGTAGCATGGGACATTTCCTCCCAATTATAGTGATGCAGTAGCCAGAATAAGCTAATTTACAAGTATCTGCCTAGGTCCACTAAACTGGGCAATCTTATCTGAGAAAGATAAAATTTACACATGACAACCTCAGCTAGAATTGTACCAGTGCATGTATGTATGTGTTTATGTGCAAATATATCAAGATAAAATAAATAATAAGATGTACAAGACCAGAAATGCAATCCCCCTAAAGATATTTACAGCTGTAACTGCTCGTATATGCAGATATGCACAAAAAACAAAAACAAAACACCTAAGTATTCTAGCTTCACATCAGGCTTGTAGCATCAGATAGTTGTGTTCTTATCCTTGTTGCCACTGACAAATTTGAACATAGCTAATGATACTGCTGCGTTTTTATCTGACACCCAAAAGTTAGTACAGGACTGAGCTGATCAAGATAAAAGTCACTAGTAAAATGAACCTTATGAACCTGCTAGGACTTTAAGATCATCCGGAGAGGCCCTGCTCTCGATCCTGCCTGTGACACAAACACGTTTGGTGGGGACGAGAGACAGGGCGTTCTCAGTGGTGGCCCCGCGGCTATGAAACACCCTTCCTGGGGACATTAGATCGGCCCCTCCCTCTTAACATTTCAGAAGAGAGTCAAGACTTGGTTGTTTGAGCAAGCGTTTGAAAATGCAAGGTAAAAGACATAGGAATTGGAACGACTGGATGACAAGATGGGACAATGTTTTTATTAGGAGGTGCAAATGATGTAGGCTTTTAGTGTTCTTGTTATGGTTTTATATTACGTGTTAATGTTTTTAAATGTTTTATGGCGGGGTCCTCAAACTAAGGCCCGAGGGCCAGGTACGGCCCTCTAGGGTCATTTACCCAGCCCTCGCTCAATGTCAACCTAAGTCTGAAATGACTTGAATGCACACAACAACAAAAATGATCTTATCTCATCAGCCAAAAGAAAGCCAATTGATATATATTTGTTAAAATTGTTCTTCATTTTAATTATTGTATTGTTTTAAGTGTTTTTTGCACTACAAATAAGATATGTGCAGTGTGCATAGGAATTCATTCATGATTTTTTTCAAATTATAATCCGGCCCTTCAACAGTTTGAGGGACTGTGACCTGGCCCTCTGTTTAAAAAGTTTGAGGGCCCCTGTTTTATGGTGTTTTGGGGCATTGAATCATTGCCATTGCAAACCGCCCTGAGTCGCCTAAGGGTTGAGAAGGTCAGTATACAAATATAGTGTGTGTGTGTGTGTGTGTGTGTGTGTGTGTGTGTGTGTATATATATATATATATATATATATATATATAATGCTCTGTGTGTAATGAGTACCTTAAAAACAAAAGAACCAATGAACGAAATCACACCAAATTTGGCAACAAAACGTCTCACAACTCAAG